CACTGCCTTGATTTTAGGTTGTGTAAGCTTTAATAACTTGCTCTTATTAATGAAATTATCTTTTGTGAGATAACTTTAAAATGCTTCTTTATTTGGTTTATCCTAGGTTAAATAAATAACAAAGTTTATTTGGTTTATCCTTTATTAACAAGGTTTGTTTGGGTTATCCTAGGTTAACTAAATAATAATGTTTATTTGGTTTATCCTTTGTTAGCAAGATTTGTTTGGGTTATCCTAGATTAATTAAATAAAAAAGTTTATTTGGGTTATCCTTTGTTAAATAAATAACAAGGTTCATATGAGTTATCCTAGGATAAATAATTACCAAGGTTTATTTGGTTTATCCTTTGTTAACAAAGTTTATTTGGGTTATCCTAGGTTAAATAAATGAAAAGGTTTAGTGGGTTTATCCTAGGTTAACTCTACATAATGTTCATTTAATTAAACCGACCTGATTACTAACATCTACTTATTCTTTCTTAAATCTTAAATGCTAGTAAATATTACCAGGAGAAAAAATTGTATTTGTTATGTTTAAGTTCGAATACTTTTATGTAAGAAACTTGAAATTTTAAATATTGATTTTTAAGCGATAATTTCTGAATACTGAATATATCTTCCAGTGTTTATACCACTTAATGATGTTAACCTGTTAATGAGAATTCTGAACGGCTTCAAACTTAATGTGGTAGTTTTTTAAATTTAGGTTGCTGGTCTGACTCTTTGAGATATTAAAAGAAATTCCTCTACCTTCCAAGCTGGTGTTTCTTAATGTTAGTTTCGAATTAGTTTAGGGCTGTCCCAATTTGCATTTTTTTCTATCGAAAAAAATGCGATATTAGTGTCCATGTGATAACTTGTGACAACCTTTCTTGAATAGCATCAAATCTTCAACGCATAACAGACTTATGCAGCTCTGCAGTAATCTCTAAGCGTGCAGTGACGTGCAGGGGGCTGGGCTTATGCAATACGGGGATACATTTATCGGATCACCCCTCAACCTAAATATATCTACCTTAACTGAGATTCAGATCGAATGGAAAAAAAAGGTAAAGATGGGATACAGTAAATTTTTTGATTTAAAAAGGAAGAACTGAAGTGGCAGACAGATGAGAAATGGCCAGTCAAGGTGTAAGTCGTACAGCATGTACTGTATGTGCTGACAGTACTGTAATCCCTGTCGTAGTGATTAAAGTAGCCTTAACTGAGCTTGTCTGGAGGTGAGCATGTAGTCTCAGTGGCCCTTCGTGTTGTCCACAAGCTTTACGCAGTATTAGCCAATATTGTGCTGACACAGAGAAACAAGATAACAGGAGTTGTCAGACAACTGATAAATACATTAAATGAATGATGGTAAAACACACCGAGAGTAAAGAATCTGTCATTAAACAATTTATTCCTGGAAGGCTAAATTGCAGACTACAAAATATTTCATTTTATCCATTTTAAAATTTACTGTTCTTGACAAGGTTACGTATCTTCACCTACAAATACTATAAGCGAGCGGCTAATGTCTGGCAGAGCAAAACATATTGTAGTACTTTAGAACGTTGCAAAACTCACGTACACTGTGTAAGCTGGAGGATGTCAGCTACATAGTTTTGGTTCAGTCACAATCAAAATAACAAAACAACAGTTTCTTACTTCGTCCGATAATCTTACGTTCTGTAGTTTTACTTTTCTAATTTATTCAAGAGAGAACTTCTCGATCCAACTTCTGAGAGCAAATCTAAAGTTTTAAAGGACACTTAATTATAACGCTGTTGCGGAGAAAATGTTGAGATAAGTTGTATATTTGTGGAATACTATAGTGGAGGGGAACACGCATGCTCTCCCTCATAATTTTTATGCCGGTGAAGAATAAAGTTTTATTTCTACCTTGGGCAGAGTCAAGTGTATTTACATTATTTAAATAATTATAAACTATCTTTTTTTTTTTTTTTTTTTTTATTCGCCGGTATTCTCCCGGCCCGGGTCTTTTCCAAGTAGTGGTGACCCGGCCTTGGCTCCCTATCCGGGGAGTATCTCGAGACCTAAGTCTCCCATGGGAGGAGGTACAAGTACCCCCTCATCTTTGGGACCAAGTGTCCCCAGGCCTAGCCACAGTCCCCGCCCTCACGGGGCTCGTAGGGAGAAGCTAGGCCTCTGGTCTGCCATCTGCCCCGCCCCAAAGGGGCTCGTGGGGATGGCAGTCTTGTGAGCTGCAGGTGGTAGCAAGCTCAAACCTATATAAACTATCTAACAACTAAAACCTTTGGGCATTAGATGCGATGCCTGTAAAATTACTGAACTTTAAGAGATATAAGTTATTATGCCGTCAGGGAAAATAAACTCTCTGTAGCCTAAGCCAAACGAATCTGAATATATTTTAACCAAACTCGTTGGAGGAACATGTTGACAGTCCCACCAGCTTGGTGTTCTGTCCTAGCCAGCGGCAGAACACACTGAAATATGTGAGATTAGTCTTAGAACACTCAGGAGGAGGCAGTGAAGGTGAATTCTAAACATGAACTTCAGTGCAAATACTACGGAACTCAAGGGGTCATTCATAACATCCCTATGACCGGTTTTAAAGGCTTTTCATCCTTGATAACCCGGCTTGAAGCCAGGCTTCCTTGTTGACAAGCACTCTATCCTTCTTTATTCCCTTTCCTCAATATCCTTCCAACTCCTACACATTCCGTTGTTCAACTCTCTCATCCTCTGCCTTCCCGCCTTCCCCCTTCCCCTTCCCCCCTTTCCCCCTTTCCCCCTTCCCCTTCACCCTTCCCTCCTTCCCCCTTCCCCCCTTCCCCCTTCCCCCTTCCCCCCTTCCCCCCTTCCCCCTTCCCTCCCTTCCCCCCTACCCGTCGATCTTCATTTGTCTGGTAGTCTATACAATAGGCTATAAAATATGGTAGCTGCAAACAAAGAGTGAATCAATTTAAAAAACAAACTACCACTGTCTACCACAAATTTTCTACCTTCAGAGCAACCACTCTACCAGGCGGACAAAACCCTCAACCACAACAACCTCAAACCTCGATATCTTACTTGTATGACTCACGAAATCGTAATAACACGACTGCAAACAAACCATACCACTCTCTGATCGCGGGTTCAAACCCCACCCTTGGTATGGTTTATCATACTTGTAATGTGGTGATGTCTTATACGTGTCTGATGGACTTTTCCATTTCATTTATTCTATTTATGTTTTCAAGAGTTATCTAAGAAGATAACATGATAGCTGATATGATCACTCTTTATTGTCTTATGGGGAATGGGGGTATAGAAGAAAAAGTAATAATAATGGGAATAAGAGGAATAAGGAAGTAGTACTAGAAGTAAGAGGAATGACAGGGTAGAGAAGACATAACCACCTCTCAGTATCACTACACTACTCACTACCATGGACCTACCCTTCTCCACTTACTTTACTTCAATGTAGATAAGATAATAAAATAAAGAACAGAGTAAGATAATAATATAATGAAGATATAGATGGGGACAGTGAATATACTATTTCACTCAAACAAAGATTTATTATTAACTCCTTGTACAGTAATATATTTGGGAACAGGAGAACTGGGTTGAATATTGAGATAAATGGAGGATTGTACACAAGCTGACAATTTAGCTGACAAAAGTGAATATAACTTATAATATAGGTTCAGCAGGACAGGTCGCCTCTAGGAACTCGGTAACCTCTAGAAGCAGTTCCCAAGACCCACACTGGCGACAGCTGTCTCTCCAGAGCTCTCTACTCCCAGCTAGAGCAGAGCTTCAAGTCACCCCTCTTGCCCAGAGCTCTCTCCAGCAAGAGATCCCCCCGAATCCTCCCTCTTAGCTGTTTCCTTGGGCTTATATGGTCCTTCTTGCACCTCCTCCCCTTAACTCTTAGTTTCGGGGGTCACCCTTCATGAGGGCCCACCACGTGAGCTTTACACAAAGGATAAACTTATCAAACAATGAGACCTGAGAGGGCAGAATGCAAGTTTTTGACACTTCCCTGACGTGGCCAGGGTGTGGCAGATTATAACTGGTTGGTCAAGTCCTTCTGTGACCTGATATAGGAAATCATACGCTCCTACATCACACTATCATTCATTCTCTCGAAAACCTCTGAATGATAATGATAAAAAACAAGTCGGGTGGTAATTGCTCTTCTATATAATCAAAAGGTTAGCCATAATTTATGCTTTCTTCGTCTGAATATTTGAGATAATGAGTTTTGAAAGATCAGTGCGAGTCCTCATAACAACCACCATTATTCATCGACTTTCATATTGCCACTTTCACAAAATTGTGAATTATCCATTTCTGTTTACAAGAATATTTGGCACAATGGCCTATGTTGTCCTGTATTTGAGTTAGTCAGGAGATGGCGAGTTGAAAGTTATTTAGGAAAACAATTTTGCTTGTAAACCAGATTGTAAAATAATTCCCTTTTTCATGTCAGAGTGGCAACGTGTGTATCCCTCTGTGTGGGATACAACTTCAGAAACAGAGATAAAAGTATATATATAACAAAATACATAATCAATCTCTTTTGTTTACACACAAATCTTCAGAGGATACATTCCACTTCTTTTAAAAATGTGTGAATATAAGAATGTGCTCAGATATTTTCGTTTTTCAATTTTTCTGTAGTATTTTGGTATAATTTTGGTCTCGTATTTTAAAGTAATTCTTTGTGATTCACTCATATACTTGCATGTATCTGTATATAAAAAAAAAACAGAATTATGATCATGCTATTTCGTTCTATTAAAAATGAATAGAAAGTACCCTTGTTATTTCTTGTGTATGTCATGTCCAATAAGCCACATTATAAAAAAAATCATTGTAATAAAGTTGGTAGAATTACCGACAATATGTAAAGTAAAAGGACACAAGTGCAACTAATGTGACATTTATTGTGGCGAAACGTTGCCACAATAAATGTCACATTAGTTGCACTTGTGTCCTTTTACTTTACAAAAAAAATCATCCCAAGATGTACTATACACACACAACAGATGGAGTTACTACTGACGCCGTGCAAGGACGACGAGTACACATGCAGCGACTTGTCGTGCATCGCTAAGAGCCGTCGCTGCGATCTGAGTATTGACTGTGAAGATCAGAGTGACGAGATGAACTGCAAAGTAGCTATGGTTCCTCCTGGTTACTCCCCCGGGCTCCTTCCCCCATCACTGACATCCAGACCGCTTCCTATCCTCTTCTCCCTTAACATCACTTCAATTAGAGAGTTCAACTTGGTGTCCTTTACCATCAGTATGGACATCTTCCTCGAGATGAAGTGGAAGGATATACGACTCAAATTTAGCAACCTTCAAGAGGACTTCCGCTCTAACAGGATTAAAGAAATGGAGGAGGTTTGGACGCCTGAGATAAAAGCAGAGGATGGTACCAAGAGTTCCGTCGAATTCGAACCTCACTCCCAGGCAGTGTACGTGATCCGAGTCTCCGGTCCGCTACCCGATGACGACACCACCATCCGCGAAGGTAAGAAAAACGCACATCTTCCCAATACGTACTCTGTAAAACTGATTTATGAGTTAAAAAGTTTTCATCTTGTGCAAAAATATCAAAATGTAAACCATTTAACACTGTTGTGGAAGTAATAACTACACAAGTGTAAAGGGATTCATACGGGCACCAATATTTCTTGAACAGATGATCGTGACAGACCCTTGTTTTGTGACAAATGTAATTATTTCTGTGTTTATGATCCAGTGTGGTGGGGTAAGGTATCTAACCTGGGTCAGAGAGTCTGCTGAATAATCCTTGTGTTATTGAAGACACTGCACAGTGGGACAGAGAACACTATGTTATTATCTATACTGAGATAATGTAGAGTAGATCAGAAAACAAACTGGCTTGTGTATGTACTCTCACCTAATTGTGGTTGCAGGGGTCGAGTCATAGGTCCTGGCCCCGCCTCTTCACTGTGTGTGTGTGTGTGTGTGTGTTGTGTGTGTGTGTGTGTGCGTGTGTGTGTGGTGTGTGTGTGTGTGTGTGTGTGTGTGTGTACCAACCTATATGTACTCACCTATTTGTGGTTGCAGGGGTCGATTCATAGTTCCTGGCCCCGCCTCTTCACTGTGTGTGTGTGTGTGTGTGTGTGTGCTCACCTATATGTACTCACCTATTTGTGGTTGCAAGGGTCGATTCATAGTTCCTGGCCCCACCTCTTCACTGTGTGTGTGTGTGTGTGTACTCACCTATATGTACTCGCCTATTTGTTGTTGCAGGGGTCGATTCATAGCTCCTGGCCCCACCTCTTCACTGATTGCTACTGGGTCCTCTCTCTCCCTGCTCCATGAGCTTTATCAAACCTCATCTTAAAACTATGTATGGTTCCTGCCTCCACTACGTCACTTTCTAGGCTATTCCACTGCCTGACAACTCTATGACTGAAGAAATACTTCCTAACATCCCTTTGACTCATCTGAGTCTTCAACTTCCAATTGTGACCCCTTGTTTTTCTGTCCCATCTCTGGAACATCCTGTCATTGTCCACCTTGTCTTTTATATGTCGTTAAATAACAAAAAGGCACAATACCGTGACTGGAACGATACACAAATAACCCGCACATAAAAGACAGAAGCTTACGACGACGTTTCGGTCCGACTTGGACCATTGACAAAGTCACACTAACAGAGGAGGAGCAGGACGGCTATATATAGGCAGGAAGAGGTGGAGGTAGTAGTAGTAGTAGTAGTAGTAGTACAAGAATTGTATATAATACCGACAGGATGAAATGACACACGCACAACACCCGGGCATCCCCACCGTAGACGTTTCGCCATCCAGCCAGCCACTGGATGGCGAAACGTCCACAACAAAGACAACCAGACGCCGCACATGTGTCTAGTTTCATCAGTAGATGTAGTAGAAGAAGAAGAGGTAGTAGTAGTGGTAGTGGTGTAGTGTGTGTATATGTCGTTATCATGTCTTCCGTGACCCTCCTGTCCTCCAGTGTCGTCAGGCCAATTTCCCTTAACCTTTCTTCGTAGGACAATCCCCTTAGCTCTGGGACTAGTCTTGTTGCAAACCTTTGCACTTTCTCTAGTTTCTTGACGTGCTTGACCAGGTGTGGATTACAAATCCACACCTGGTCAAGCACGTGTATGTGTGTGGGTGGGTGCGTAAATTTTTATGTATAAATGTCGATAAAAAGTGAGATTCTTCCTAGAAAATATTGATCAATTCGAGTATCTTCAGCGGTGTGCAAACCCTTGCGAACAATGTATGATGATGAGATTAAGACACATATGTATGATATAAGTGTGACACCTGGAAAGCATAAGCTGGTTAAAAACGCTATTATAAAGACAAATATTTTTTGTTCATTATATTTCTATTTCTATAATGATATATTAAATATGCATAATGAAAGCCTCACTGTAAAAGAGGAGCCTCGAAGCAGAGCACCGGTTTCTTAGATCGAATCCGACGACTCTCTCCCATGCTCCAGTTGGTTAATGATCCCTGCGAACTTAGCACTTTATCATGAACGTAATAATAATAATAATAATAAAAAAATAATAATAATAATAATAATAATAATAATAATAATAATAATAATAATAATAATAATAATAATAATAATAAGAATACAGAATGTGAAAAAGACTTGGGAGTCATGGTAAGCAGAAATCTGTAATAAAGTTGGTAGAATTAGTTGCACTTGTGTCCTTTTACTTTACAAGCAGAAATCTAAAGCCAAGACAGCAGTGCCTTAGTGTGCGCAACAAGGCCAACAGATTACTTGGATTTATCTCAAGAAGTATAAGTAACAGAAGTCCAAAAGTTATTTTACAGCTCTATACATCACTAGTGAGGCCTCATTTAGATTATGCTGCTCAGTTTTGGTCCCCTTACTACAGGATGGACATAGACTCATTAGAGAACATACAGAGAAGAATGACTAAAATGATTTACTGTGTAAGGAACCTCCCGTATGAAGATAGACTTAAAGCCTTAAATCTCCACTCTCTGGAGAGGCGTAGAATGAGGGGAGATATCATTGAAGTGTATAAGTGGATGACGGGCATAAACAAGGGAGATATTAATAAAGTACTGAGGGTGTCGAACCAGGTAAGAACCAGGAATAATGGATTTAAGGAAGGGGTAGCAGTAATGTTAAATGATCAGTTATGGAAGGAGAAAAGAGAATATGAATGTGTAAATTCAAGAATTATGTGGATTAAAGTAAAGGTTGGATGCGAGAAGTGGGTCATAATAAGCGTGTATGCACCTGGAGAAGAGAGAAATGCAGAGGAGAGAGAGAGATTTTGGGAGATGTTAAGTGAATGTATAGGAGCCTTTGAACCAAATGAGAGAGTAATTGTGGTAGGGGACCTGAATGCTAAAGTAGGAGAAACCTTTAGAGAGGTGTGGTAGGTAAGTTTGGGGTGCCAGGTGTAAATGAAAATGGGAGCCCTTTGATTGAACTTTGTATAGAAAGGGGTTTAGTTATAGGTAATACATATTTTAAGAAAAAGAGGATAAATAAGTATACACGATATGATGTAGGGCGAAATGACAGTAGTTTGTTGGATTATGTATTGGTAGATAAAAGACTGTTGAGTAGACTTCAGGATGTACATGTTTATAGAGGGGCCACAGATATATCAGATCACTTTCTAGTTGTAGCTACACTGAGAGTAAAAGGTAGATGGGATACAAGGAGAATAGAAGCATCAGGGAAGAGAGAGGTGAAGGTTTATAAACTAAAAGGAGGCAGTTAGGGTAAGATATAAACAGCTATTGGAGGATAGATGGGCTAATGAGAGCATAGGCAATGGGGTCGAAGAGGTATGGGCTAGGTTTAAAAATGTAGTGTTAGAGTGTTCAGCAGAAGTTTGTGGTTACAGGAAAGTGGGTGCAGGAGGGAAGAGGAGCGATTGGTGGAATGATGATGTAAAGAGAGTAGTAAGGGAGAAAAAGTTAGCATATGAGAAGTTTTTACAAAGTAGAAGTGATGCAAGGAGGGAAGAGTATATGGAGAAAAAGAGAGAAGTTAAGAGAGTGGTGAAGCAATGTAAAAAGAGAGCAAATGAGAGAGTGGGTGAGATGTTATCAACAAATTTTGTTGAAAATAAGAAAAAGTTTTGGAGTGAGATTAACAAGTTAAGAAAGCCTAGAGAACAAATGGATTTGTCAGTTAAAAATAGGAGAGGAGAGTTATTAAATGGAGAGTTAGAGGTATTGGGAAGATGGAGGGAATATTTTGAGGAATTGTTAAATGTTGATGAAGATAGGGAAGCTGTGATTTCGTGTATAGGGCAAGGAGGAATAACATCTTGTAGGAGTGAGGAAGAGCCAGTTGTGAGTGTGGGGAAGTTCGTGAGGCAGTAGGTAAAATGAAAGGGGGTAAGGCAGCCGGGATTGATGGGATAAAGATAGAAATGTTAAAAGCAGGTGGGGATATAGTTTTGGAGTGGTTGGTGCAATTATTTAATAAATGTATGGAAGAGGGTAAGGTACCTAGGGATTGGCAGAGAGCATGCATAGTTCCTTTGTATAAAGGCAAAGGGGATAAAAGAGAGTGCAAAAATTATAGGGGGATAAGTCTGTTGAGTGTACCTGGTAAGGTTATGGTAGAGTTATAATTGAAAGAATTAAGAGTAAGACGGAGAATAGGATAGCAGATGAACAAGGAGGCTTTAGGAAAGGTAGGGGGTGTGTGGACCAGGTGTTTACAGTGAAACATATAAGTGAACAGTATTTAGATAAGGCTAAAGAGGTCTTTGTGGCATTTATGGATTTGGAAAAGGCGTATGACAGGGTGGATAGGGGGGCAATGTGGCAGATGTTGCAAGTGTATGGTGTAGGAGGTAGGTTACTGAAAGCAGTGAAGAGTTTTTTACGAGGATAGTGAGGCTCAAGTTAGAGTATGTAGGAAAGAGGGAAATTTTTTTCCCAGTAAAGGTAGGCCTTAGACAAGGATGTGTGATGTCACCGTGGTTGTTTAATATATTTATAGATGGGGTTGTAAGAGAAGTAAATGCGAGGGTCTTGGCAAGAGGCGTGGAGTTAAAAGATAAAGAATCACACACAAAATGGGAGTTGTCACAGCTGCTCTTTGCTGATGACACTGTGCTCTTGGGAGATTCTGAAGAGAAGTTGCAGAGATTGGTGGATGAATTTGGTAGGGTGTGCAAAAGAAGAAAATTAAAGGTGAATACAGGAAAGAGTAAGGTTATGAGGATAACAAAAAGATTAGGTGATGAAAGATTGAATATCAGATTGGAGGGAGAGAGTATGGAGGAGGTGAACGTATTCAGATATTTGGGAGTGGACGTGTCAGCGGATGGGTCTATGAAAGATGAGGTGAATCATAGAATTGATGAGGGAAAAAGAGTGAGTGGTGCACTTAGGAGTCTGTGGAGACAAAGAACTTTGTCCTTGGAGGCAAAGAGGGGAATGTATGAGAGTATAGTTTTACCAACGCTCTTATATGGGTGTGAAGCGTGGGTGATGAATGTTGCAGCGAGGAGAAGGCTGGAGGCAGTGGAGATGTCGTGTCTGAGGGCAATGTGTGGTGTGAATATAATGCAGAGAATTCGTAGTTTGGAAGTTAGGAGGAGGTGCGGGATTACCAAAACTGTTGTCCAGAGGGCTGAGGAAGGGTTGTTGAGGTGGTTCGGACATGTAGAGAGAATGGAGCGAAACAGAATGACTTCAAGAGTGTATCAGTCTGTAGTGGAAGGAAGGCGGGGTAGGGGTCGGCCTAGGAAGGGTTGGAGGGAGGGGGTAAAGGAGGTTTTGTGTGCGAGGGGCTTGGACTTCCAGCAGGCATGCGTGAGCGTGTTTGATAGGAGTGAATGGAGACAAATGGTTTTTAATACTTGACGTGCTGTTGGAGTGTGAGCAAAGTAACATTTATGAAGGGATTCAGGGAAACCGGCAGGCCGGACTTGAGTCCTGGAGATGGGAAGTACAGTGCCTGCACTCTGAAGGAGGGGTGTTAATGTTGCAGTTTAAAAACTGTAGTGTAAAGCACCCTTCTGGCAAGACAGTGATGGAGTGAATGATGGTGAAAGTTTTTCTTTTTCGGGCCACCCTGCCTTGGTGGGAATCGGCCAGTGTGATAATAAAAATAAATAAATAAATTTAGAATCTCCACGACTATGGTGCTGTTCGCACCTACTCCTAGGTTGAGGGACTGATTACCTCATCTTCTGTACATAGTTCTACTGTCTTCAAGTTATGTCCTAGAATTTGTATTGATAAAGCCACTGGATGGTGAAACGTCTACAATAAAGATACCCAGATGTTGCACATGTGTCTTACTCTTATCATGAGTGGGAGGTAAGACACATATGCAACAGTTAGGTATCTTTATTTCGAAACGTTTCGCCTACACAGTAGGCTTCTTCAGTCGAGTACAGAAAAGTTGATAGAAGCATATGTGTCTTACCTAACAATCTGTCGGTATTTTATACCATTTTAATGTTCATGAGTGGGAGGGGCTGGGTTTGATTGGTGTTAAGGGGTACGGGAGTTATTTCTTGAGTAGCTTTAGGTAGATGTCGTTTTGATAAGGACCTGCCTCGTAAGGGCCAGTAGGCCTTCTGCAGTGTTCCTACATTCTTATGTTCTTAATGATAATAATAATCTGATGAAATCTTCAGAGGACTTTTCAAACATGTAAAGGTGCTCACAGTAATAATAATAATAATAATAATAATAATAATAATAATAATAATAATAATAATAATAATAATAATAATAATAATAATCTTTATTTCTATAAGTACATGATACAAAGTGTACAAACGTAGCTGTCTCCCACGTGACTGTGTTCTCGCACCTTACACGAAAAACGTACTGTTTGTAGGGCTCTGTAAGTCCTTTGGCAGACGTATGGCAGAGCCATACGTCTCTTGTTTGTGTAATTCGCTAATTGATGGTGAAATATTATATGTATACAGTAAAGAAACATATATCTGAAGTTAGCAGAGGATTCGAAACTATGATTCTCGCTCTCCTCATGAGGAGTAATTCAATTCACTTACATAGTGCTTAAACCACATAGCCGGAGCCCACCTAGGTGTCGGTGGCCAGCTTCAGCTCCCAGTGGATTCCCAAACCTAGGATCACCAGGTCATATTAGTGGAAACTAACCACTTCATCTTGTCCGCCCTTATACCCTGAGAAATGTGAGCATGTTTAAGAACACTTAAGTGTCGGGGGGGAGGGGGTGTATGTGTGTGTGTGTGTACTCACCTAATTGTGGTTGCAGGGGTCGAGACTCAGCTCCTGGCTCAGCTCCTGGTGTGCATGTACGTGTGTGTGTACTTATATAGAGACTGGTCATGAATGAACTGTATAGTTGTACATAAGTCATTGGATCTAAATGGCGTACTGCCAATAATAATGAAGGTAACGTGCTGTTGTAGAACAAGGTTTTCCTGGGACGACATTTCTCTCTGTTAGATTGACTTGAGAAAATCTAACTGACCGAAACGTTATCATAAAAGCAACTTGTTGTGCAACGTGAGTTTTTCCATCAAGACAAAAAAAAAACTGTTGTATATCGTTGCCACAAAAATTTATTTATATATTGGTGTATTATGATAACAGAGACAGTGTACAGCGGGACGGAGAACATGATGGTGTTCAAGAGTGAGAACACACTCACGTTTAAGTGTCACTTCAAGCTTCACATGTATCCCTTCGACCGACAGCGATGCTACATAGAATACAGAATACAAGACGTCTCCAAGGACTTTGTCATCTTCGAAAAGGTGAGGAGCTTAAATGAGGAACTCAGTGTGAGGAGGTGGAGATGAGGTACTGCTGCTATGATGATTTTTTGTAGATAGGTAGACGAATATGCTGTAGAGGTAACGCGGGAGTTACGTATACCCCTGTTGGCTAGAGATGGGCTTTATTCAGAGAGGGTAGACCAGGCAGGCACTTGTTGAGGGCAGCCAGAAGCCAAGTACTAGAGAGTGATTCTCAACCAGGGATACATTTACCCCGTGGAGGTAAAAAAAATACCTAGCGAGGGGTAAATATTTGATGTACCTGATAACTGAATAATAATTCAATTAAATTTCATTTTTGTAAAATGTGAGAAAAGAGAAAAGAGAGAGAGAGAGAGGAGAGGGGAGGAGAGAGAGAGGAGAGAGAGAGAGAGAGAGAGAGAGAGAGAGAGAGAGAGAGAGAGAGAGAGAGAGAGAGAGAGAGAGAGAGAGAGGAAGAGAGAGTGAGAGAACGCTAAGAATGTGTGTGTGTGAATAATAGTTACCTGACTATTATTCAATTTCATTCGGGCTTGAGGTTTGAATCACCGTTTGTTAAAAGATTTTTGTGATGAGATGGGCTGTGAACATTCCATTCTTATACTGCATACTGATGTGAGGTGGCTTTTTCGTGGACTTATTTTAAATCGTGTGTTTGAGCTCCGGAATTCAAAGTTGTGTGAAGACTTTGCTGATCCGAAGTTGGTCGCCTGTTTGTGGTACCTCTCAGACATATTTACTCATCTTAACCAAGTCAACAAACAACTCCAGGGAACGTCGGTAACCATTGTCGAAGCAAGTGAAAAGATGAACACATTGCAGACAAAGCTGGACTTATTGGCACTGAGAGTTCACCAAAGTAACTTTGCAAATTTTCCAAACTTGGATGAGGTCATTAGTGAACGATCTGGAGTGTTACCTGAGATAAATGAAGACATCACAGAACATTTGAAAATCTTGAAGAATCACTTCACTGGCTACTTTTCAAAAGACATGATTCCAACAGAGGGATGGATAATAAGACATTTTGCCACTGAACTGTCAGAAATGAAAGATGATGACCCAGCTACAGAGGAGCTGATTGATCTTCAGTCCTCAGCTTCTCTTAGAAAAGAATTTGCAAAGGTTGGTGTTCATTATTGGGTAGAACTCGTAGATTACCATCCACTCCGTACTCCGCGTACCTTCCAAGTGCTTGTAGTCACTACATACTTATGAGAATCAGACTTCTCAAGAATCAGACTTCTCAAGTTTAGTAGCAATGAGGACAAAGTCCAGGAACCGATTGATAGCCGTTGACGATATGAGAGTAACAATGTCATCAGCAGCTCCTGGCATAAACAAACTGATGGACTCAGTGAGTCACCAGTGTTCCCACCAATAATGTTTCTGGTGTTTCTAATTTTTGTCATAAAAATACAATTATCTCTTTGGAAAAGAATGTTTTATTTCTTTCTTTCTTTATTTTTTGGTGAAACGAATGTATTACCTGGGGTTTACCTGGAGAGGGTTTCAGGGGTCAACGCCCCCGCGGCCAGGCCTGAGACCAGGCCTCATGGTGGATCACGGTCTGATCAACCAGGCTGTTACTACTGGTCGCAAGCAAGCTGACGTACGAACCACAGCCCGGTTGGTCAGGTACTGACTTTAGGTGCCTGTCCAGCGCCTTCTTGAAAACATTCAGGGGTCTATTGGTAATCCCTCTTATGTATGCTGGGAGGCAGTTGAACAGTCTTGGGCCCCGGATACTTATTGTGTTGTCTCTCAATGTACTCGTGACGCCCCTGCTTTTCATTGGGGGAATGTTGCATCTCTTGCCGAGTCTTTTGCTTTCGTAGGGAGTGATTTTCGTGTGCAGGTTTGGTGCCAATCCCTTCAGGACCTTCCAAGTGTATGTTATCATGTATCTCTCTCGCCTGCATTCCAGGGAATACAGATCAAGAACCTTTAACCATTCCCAGTAGTTTGGTTGCCTTATCGTACTGCTATTTTTGAATAAAACCTGAATAATCTTTTTTTTCTGATCTTGTTTCTATGTCCCTTTATGATGGCAATAAATTTTTTGTGTGGAAGGGAGTAAATGGAGATGTAGATGTGAATGTAGAGTGAAGTTCAGCAGAGCTTCAGTGAGGGAGATGGCAGGTCAGGAGGACACACCTCAGGCCTACCATCAGCCGGGCACTACAGAAAATAGGCCTTAGGCCAGCAACCTCACTAGCGGGTGGTATGTGAAACAGGTAGGTAGGCATATTGTCTACACTGGAGGTGAGGAATTGTCGTGGTGCTGAAGGTGTGCTGCTGGAGGTGAGGAACTGGAGGTGTGATGCTGGAGGTGTAGTACTGGAGGTGTGGTGCTGGGGGTACGGTAATGGAGACGTGGTGCTCGAGGTGTGGTATTGGAGCTGTAGTACTGGAGGTGTGGTACTGGAGGTGTGGTAATGGAGGTGTGGTACTAGAGGTGTAGTACTGGAGGTGTGGAACTGGACGTGTAGTACTGGAGGTGTGGTACTGAAAGTGTGTGTAGTACTGGAGGTGTGGTACTGAAAGTGTGTGTAGTACTGGAGGTGTGGTACTGGAGGTGTGGTACTGGAGGTGTGGTGCTGGAGGTGTTGTGCTTGAGGTGTGGTACTGGAGGTGTGGTACTGGAGGTGTGGTGCTGGAGGTTGTTGTGATTGAGTGTGGTACTGGAGGTGTGGTGCTGGTGTGGTACTGGAGGAGTGTACTGGTGTGTGGTGCTTGAGGTGTGATACTGGACGTGTGGTGTTTGTGTGGTACTGGAGGTGGTGTGCTGTTGTGGTACTGGAGTGTGGTGGTTGAGGTGTGATACTGGAGGTGTGGTACTGGAGGTTTGGTACTGGAGGAGTGGTGCTGGTGTGGTACTGGAGGTGTGATGCTGGAGGTGTGGTGCTGGAGGTGTGGTGCTGGAGGTGTGGTACTGTGGTGTGGTGCTGGAGGTGTGGTGCTTGAGTGTGATACTGGAGGTGTGGTACTGGAGGTATAGTATTGGGGTGTGGTTGGGTGGGGTACTGGAGGTGTGGTGCTGGAGGTGTGGTGCTGGAGTGTGGTGCTGGAGATGTGGTACTGGAGGTGTGGTACTGGAGTCGTGGTGCTGGAGGTGTGGTGCTTGTGTGATACTGGACGTGTGGTGTTTGTGTGTACTGGAGGTGTGGTTCTGGAGGTATGGTACTGGAGGTGTGGTTCTGGAAGTGTGGTACTGGAGGTGTGCTGCTGGACGTATGGTGCTGGAGGTGTGGTACTGGAGGCGTGGTGCTGGAGGTGTGGTGCTTGTGTGATACTGGACGTGTGGTGCGTGTGTGGTACTGGAGGTGTGGTTCTGGAGGTGTGGTACTGGAGGTGTGGTACTGGAGGTGTGGTACTGGAGGCGTGGTGCTGGAGGAGTGGTGCTTGTGTGATACTGGACGTGTGGTGCTTGTGTGGTACTGGAGGTGTGGTTCTGGAGGTGTGGTACTGGAGATGTGGTGCTGGACGTATGGTGCCGGAGGTGTGGTACTGGAGGCGTGGTGCTGGAGGTGTGGTACTTGTGTGTACTGGAGGTATGGTGCTTGTGTAGTACTGGAGGTGTGGTCCTGGAGGTGTGCTGCTGGAGGTGTGGTACTGGAGGCGTGGTGCTAGACGTGTGGTGCTTGTGTGGTACTGGAGAAGTGGCTCTGGAGGTGTGGTGCTAGAGATGTGGTGCTGGAAGTGTGGTACTGGAGGTGTGGTGTTTGAGGTGCGGTACTGGAGTTGCGGTGCTGGAGGTGTGGTGCTGGTGTGGTACTGGAGGTGGGATGCTTGTGTGGTACTGGAGATGTGGCACTGGAGGTGCGATGCTAGAGATGTGGTGCTGGAAGTGTGGTACTGGAGGTGTGGTGCTTGAGGTGTGGTACTGGAGGTGTGGTGCTGGAGGTGTGGTGCTGGTGTGGTACTGGAGGTGTGGTGATATATTTGTAGTGCTTGAGGTGTGGTACTCGAAGTGTAGTACCTGAGGTGTGGTACTGGAGGTGTGGTGCTTGACGTGTGGTACTGGACGTGTGGTGCTGGTGTGGTACTGGAGGTGTGGTGCTGGAGATGTGGTGCTGGTGTGGTTTTAGAGGTGTGGTGCTAGAGGTGCGGTACTGGAGGTGTGGTGCTGGTGTAATACTGGAAGTGTGGTGCTTGAGGTGTGGTACTGGACGTGTGGTGCTGATGTGGTTCTGGAGGTGTGGTGCTGGTGTGGTACTAGAGGTGTGGTACTGGAGGTGTGGTGCTTGAGGTGTGGTACTGGAAGTGTAGTGCTGGTGTGATACTGGAGGTGTGGTGCTTGAGGTGTGGTACTGGAGGTGTAGTACGGGAGGTGTGGTACTGGAGGTGTGGTGCTTAAGGTGTGATACTGAAGGTGTAGTGCTGGTACTGAAGGTGTGGTGCTGGTGTGATACTGGAGGTGTGGTGCTTGAGGTGTGGTACTGGAGGTGTGGTGCTGGAAGTGTGGTGCTGGAGGTGTGGTGCTGGTATGGTTCTGGAGGTGTGGTGCTTTTGTGTTACTGGAGGTGTGGTCCTGGAGGTGTGATGCTATAGGATAAGGACTGACTGGTGCTGTAGGATAATAACTGACTGGTGACGTAGGATATGGACTGATTGGTGCTGTAGGATAATAACTGACTGGTGCTGTAGGATATTAACTGACTGGTGCTGTAGGATAAGGACTGACTGGTGCTGTAGGATAAGGACTGATTGGTGCTGTAGGATAAGAACTGATTGGTGCTGTAGGATAAAGACTGACTGGTGCTGTAGGATATGGACTGATTGGAGCTGTAGGATAAGGATTGACTAGTGCTGTAGGATAAGGACTGACTGGTGCTGTAGGATAAGGACTGACTGGTGCTGTAGGATAAGGACTGATCAGTGCTGTAGGATAAGGACTGGCTGGTGCTGTAGGATAAGGACTGACTGGTGCTGTAGGATAAGGACTGACTTGTGGTGTAGGATAGGGACTGACTGGTGCTGTAGGATAAGGATTGAGTGGTGCTGTAGGATAAGACTAACTGGTGGTGTAGGGTAAGACTGACTGGTGGTGTAGGGTAAGACTGACTGGTGGTGTAAGGTAAGACTAACTGGTGGTGTTAGATAAGGAACAATATTATTGATGTGTCTTGCCTGTAGGAAGGAGCTGGGATGCTGGTGTTGGGAGAGCGTCAGCTGCTGGAGTACACTCTCATCTCTGAGACCATCACCAACTACACCATTCAAGGAGTCAGCTACGTCAAGGTCAAAATTCAGAATAATTCTCTCCATTTCTAACTCAAAGCGATTTATATATATATGTATATATATTATTATTAATAACACATCGTATATATATATATATATATATATATATATATATATATATATATATATAATATATATATATATATATATATATATATATATATATATATATATATATGTATATATATACATATATATATATATATATATATATGTATATGTATATATATATATATATATATATATATATATATATATATATATATATATATATATATATATATATATATATATATATATATATATATATATATATATATATATATATATATATGCGCAAAACAACCACTATGAAAGAGTAGTGAAATTCAAAGCGCTTTCGTGACTACTCACATTGTCAAGGAACTATGAAAGTAATACATCAAAGGAAGGTAATTAAAGGGCTTAGACCACACCTTACAGTCAACTCCCTCAACAAAGAAACACCTGACGCGGGACAATACCGGACTCATAAGAAAAAAAGGAACATTGCAGTAGGTCCGCTGGTCCAACTAGACAGGTCCTCACGACAACCCACTAACAAATTTTTCTACCCAAGAAATAAGGTTTATTATTTGTCCAATGTATTATTAAACTCTAACCAAATTTTATTAATTAGCAATGAATCTGATTTATACAAACCTAGGGAAATATTCATATTATTTTCAAAACTGCTTTTTATGAAACAAGATTCAATTATATTTCTGTCAACCATGGACTTGCTTGATACAACTTTCTCAACTTTTTGAAAATCATTTGGATGGTTAAAGTCTCTCACATGAATAAATAGAGCATTGGAATCTTGTCCAGTTCTAATGCTATATATATGTTGTTTTAATCTAAGTTCGAGACTTTTACCAGTTTGACTGTAATAAATTTTATCGCAAATTTTACAAGGAATCTTATAGACGCATCCGTCTGCATTTTGGGGGGAATTCTTTATCAAAAGTTTTTTTACTGTATCAAGATTTTTAAATACAACTTTAATATTGAAAGTCTTAAGAAGAGAAGGCATATCAACCAAGTTTTCATGGTAAAGGAGAACCAACATATTTTTAATTGAATAAGGTTTGTTGTCCCTTTTTGGGTTGTAAAAAGTATTTCTAGCAATTTTAAATGATTTATCAATTACATTTCTCGGGTATTTCAGATCATTGGCTATTTCATAAATTTTGGATATTTCTTCATCTATGAACTCTGGACTACAAATACGTAAAGCTCTCAAAAACATTGATGAGAAAACAGACAGTTTAACTTTATCTTGAAGGGAAGAATAATAGTGTACATAGGAACAGTTATTTGTAGGTTTTCTGTAAATTTTGAATTTGAATTTATTATTACTCTTAATAATTAAAACATCTAGAAAAGGCAATGAGTTATTTTCCTCAAACTCAACAGTAAAGTTTATAGAATGGCCTAAGCTATTTAATTTGCCAAGGAAATGGTGTATATCTACATTCTTGGGCATAAGAAAAATATCATCGACATATCTGAACCATTTTGCTCTATTAGGGAGGATTGTGTTAAGCAATCATGTTTCAAAAAATTCCATGTATAGATTACTAAGAACAGGTGAAAGAGGATTTCCCATTGTCATACCAAATTTCTGAGTGTAAAACTTATCATTAAATACAAATTTTGCATCAACAATGCAAAGTTTAATAAGTTTAATGATGGTAGGAACTGGTAATGGTAAATCATAATTAACGAGTTCTTCAGATAAGAAACTTAATAAATCATCAACAGGAACTTTCGTAAACAAGGAAGTAACATCAAAACTAACCATGTTAAAATTATTTAAGTTAGTCAAGGAGCTTAATTTATCAACAAAATCTAAGTTGTTTTTAACATTGAAGTTAGAAATTTTACCAACAATAGGGCTCAAAATGTCAACAAGCCATTTGGATAATTTATACAAAACTGATCCTATGGAGCTAATAATTGGTCTGATTGGATTACCTGGTTTGTGTGTTTTTATTAGTCCATACATGTAAGGTAAAGATGGATTAGTGGAAGCAAATTGTTTAATTAATTCATCTTTGCCTTTTAGTAGAAGTTTTATTGATTTATTGAAATTGCTGTTAACGGTTTCTAAGGGATTCTTTCTAAGTTTAGAATAGGTTTCAGTATCATCTAAGAGATTATTCATTTTTTCTTGGTAATCATTTTCTTTCATAATTACTATTGCATTTATTTTATCTGCTTTGGTAAGGCGCAAATTTTTATTATTGTTAAGTGTATCATAAGACTTAAAGAATCTTTGAGGGCAATTGGGAATGTTTTGTTTTAACATAGAGTTATATACCATTCCCTAACTAATATTAATTTCATCAGTGGATAAATCAGAAGATTTTTCAAAGTTACAAAAGGCTTTTGCAATTTCAACATTATTAAGTTTTTTTTGAAGTTGCAAAACTTAGACCAAAACCTAGAGCAGCCGTTGTATTTTTATCTAACACTTCATCTGATAAGTTAATTACAAAACTGTTATTAGCATGCTTTGTCCAATCACTATTTTCAATTAAATTGTCTAATTGTCTTTGTAGTTTGTTTTTGAGCCTTTTGTAACTTTGAAAAATCTTCTGATTTATCCACTGATGAAATTAATATTAGTTAGGGAATGGTATATAACTCTATGTTAAAACAAAACATTCCCAATTGCCCTCAAAGATTCTTTAAGTCTTATGATACACTTAACAATAATAAAAATTTGCGCCTTACCAAAGCAGATAAAATAAATGCAATAGTAATTATGAAAGAAAATGATTACCAAGAAAAAATGAATAATCTCTTAGATGATACTGAAACCTATTCTAAACTTAGAAAGAATCCCTTAGAAACCGTTAACAGCAATTTCAATAAATCAATAAAACTTCTACTAAAAGGCAAAGATGAATTAATTAAACAATTTACTTCCACTAATCCATCTTTACCTTACATGTATGGACTAATAAAAACACACAAACCAGGTAATCCAATCAAACCAGTTATTAGTTCCATAGGATCAGTTTTGTATAAATTATCCAAATGGCTTGTTGACATTTTGGGCCCTATTGTTGTAAAACTTCTAACTTCAATGTTAAAAACAACTTAGATTTAGTTGATAAATTAAGCTCCTTGACTAACTTAAATGATTATTAATATGGTTTAGTTTTAATGTTACTTCCTTGTTTACGAAAGTTCCTGTTGATGATTTATTAAGTTTCTTATCTGAAGAACTCGTTAATTATGATTTACCATTACCAGTTCCTACCATCATTAAACTTATTAAACTTTGCATTGTTGATGCAAAGTTTGTATTTAATGATAAGTTTTACACTCAGAAATTTGGTACGGCAATGGGAAATTCTCTTTCGCCTGTTCTTAGTAATCTATACATGGAATTTTTTGAAACATGATTGGTTAACACAATCCTCCCTAATAAAGCAAAATGGTTCAGATATGTCGATGATATTTTATGTCTTATGCCCAAGAATGTAGATATACACCATTTCCTAGGCAAATTAAATAGCTTAGCCCATTCTATAAACTTTACTGTTGAGTTTGAGGAAAATATCTCATTGCCTTTTCAAGATGTTTTAATTATTAAGAGTAATAATGAATTCAAATTTAAAATTTACAGAAAACCTATAAATAACTGTTCCTATGCACACTATTATTCTTCCCATTAAGTTAAACTGTCTGTTTTCTCATCAATGTTTTTGAGAGCTTTACATATTTGTAGTCCAGAGTTCATTGATGAAGAAATATCCAAAATTTACGAAATAGCCAATGATCTGAAATACCCGAGAAATGTAATTGATAAATCATTTAAAATTGCTAGAAATACTTTTTACAACCCAAAAAGGGACAACAAACCTTATTCAATTAAAAATATGTTGGTTCTCCCTTACCATGAAAACTTGGTTGATATGCCTTCTCTTCTTAAGACTTTTAATATTCAAGTTGTATTTAAAAATCTTGATACAGTAAAAAAAACTTTTGATAAAGAATTCCCCCCAAAATGCTGACGGATGTGTCTATAAGATTCCTTGTAAAATTTGTGATAAAATTTATTACGGTCAAACTGGTAAAAGTCTCGAACTTAGATTAAAACAACATAAATATAGCATTAGAACTGGACAAGATTCCAATGCTCTATTTATTCATGTGAGAGACTTTAACTATCCAATTGATTTTCAAAAAGTTGAGAAAGTTGTATCAAGCAAGTCAATGGTTGACAGAAATATAATTGAATCTTGTTTCATAAAAAGCAGTTTTGAAAATAATATGAATATTTCCTTAGGTTTGTATAAATCAGATTCATTTATAACTAATAAAAATTGGTTAGAGTTTAATAATACATTACCTGGAGTTTACCTGGAGAGAGTTCCAGGGGTCAACGCCCCCGCAGCCCTGTCTGTGACCAGGCCTCCTGGTGGATCAGAGCCTGACCAACCATTTGGACAAATAATAAACCTTATTTCTTGGGTAGAATAATTTGTTAGTGGGTTGTCGTGAGGACCTGTCTAGTTGGACCAGCGGACCTACTGCAGTGTTCCTTTTTTCTTATGAGTCCGACTGTGAGGTGTGGTCTAAGCCCTTTAATTACCTTCCCTTCGATGTATTACTTTCATATTTCCCTTTTGGACAATGTGATTTATCCGAAAGCGTTTGGGAATTTCATTTCCTCTTTCAGGGTGGTTGTTTTGATATTTTAAAATCCCCCTGTTTACTGTGATTTTATTGCATATTTTATAATATTTATTTTTATAATAGATAATTATATTTATATATAAAATTATATATTTTTTAATTTTATATTATATATATTATATATATTTTAATTTAGGGTTTTATTATATGTTTATTATTTTTGTATATTGTATTATTAATATATATAATATATATATATATATATTTATATATTTTATATTTATATATTTTATATATATATTTTTAAAATATTTTGTTTAAAA